AGCGGTTGAGTCAATTGAGTTAGCAACATTTCGATTGCGTGACGTTGTAGTATTGTGGTATGAAAGTTAGGAGAGATCTAGGGGAAACGATACATCCCTACCCACTTGGGATAGCTTTACAAAAGTTTTCATAGATCACTATTTGCCTCGATAGATTAGTGATGGCCGGGTGGACCAGTTTCTGAACCTCGACAGGGTGGCATGAGTGTCCGAGAGTACGGGCTGAGATTTGATTCATTGGCTAGATATGCACTAGCATTTGTTGATACGATGCATGATAGGGTGCGTAGATTTGTGGGAGGGCTTGATTCATACTATATCGAGGCTTGTTTTACCGCTGCGCTAAATGATAATATGGATATCTCACGAATTCAGGCCTTTGCACAGGGCATAGAGGATTGCCGACATCTATAGTATACGAGTGAGAGGGGAGAGAGAGAGAGACAAAAAAGGTCTAGGCCTGCTGGTTCGCAGGGAGATTTTTAGGGTGGTCCCAAACCTCTATATTCTATTAGGCCACTTAGACCTCCACCACAGCAGTTCCAGGGTAGTAGATTTGATCGTCAGAAACAGTCAGGCCTAGGTGAGGGTTCACGAGCATCAGGCTCGCAGCAGTAGAGGGGTTCAAGCCAGGCAAGGACATCCCCGCCGCGTTGCGCTACTTGCAGTAGGATGCATTTCGGGAGGTGCAGACAAGGTTCCACAGGTTGTTATTCTTGTGGACAAGAAGGGCATAGGTGGAGAAACTGCCCTACCATAGGTTAGGGTGGTATAGGCCAGTCGACTAGGTCAGCAGTAGGTTCCTCCTCATCAGCACAGTCTACAGGGCGTGGACCCCAGACATCAACACGTAAAGGTAGAGGCGGAGGCAGAGAGGGAGCATCTAGTTTTGATAGTGGACAGAACCGTACATATTCATTAACCGGCCAACGGGACTCAGAGTCATCACCAGATGTTGTGACAAGTACATTGATTATTTGCTCCCATTGTGTTTATGCTTTGATAGATCCTGGATCTACTTTGTCTTATGTTACTCCATTTATTGCGTGGAGGTTATGTATAGTAGCAGAGTCATTAGATCGACCCTTTATTGTATCTACACCAGTTGGTGAATCTATTATTGCCAGGAGAGTCTATCGAGGTTGCACGGTATAAATTATCGACCGTCAGACCTCTGTAGATCTTGTAGAGTTAGAGATGGTCGAGTTTGATGTCATTATGGGTATGGTCTAGTTAGCGTCTTGTTATGCTAAGGTTGAGTGCCGGACAAAGACTGTTAGATTCCACTTTCCAGGAGTGGCAGTTCGGGAATGGAAAGGCGATACAATAACGCCGAAAGGTAGGTTTATTTCCTATCTTAAGGCAAGGAGGATGATTACCAAGGGTTTTATTTATCATCTTGTTCACGTTCATAATATAGATGCAGAACCATCGACTCTTCAGTCTATTCTGGTAGTTAATGAGTTTCTAGATGTATTTCCAGACGAACTCCCTGGTATCCCTCCAGAACAGGAAATTGATTTTGCTATCGATATGATACCAAGTACACAACCCATATCTATGACTTCTTATAGAATGGCTCTTGCTGAGCTAAAGGAGATGAAGGATCAGCTAAAAGATTTGCTGGATAAAGGCTTTATTAGGCCTAGTGCTTCACCATAGGGTGCACCAGTGTTGTTCGTAAAGAAGAAAGATGGCTCACTAAGAATGTGTATCGATTACCGATAGCTGAATAAGGCAACTATAAAGAATAAGTATCCCCTTCCGAGGATAGAAGACTTGTTTGATTAGTTAAAAGGTCCTAAGTGTTTCTCAAAGATTGATTTAAGATCAGGGTACCACCAGATACGAGCTCAGGAGAAAGACGTTCCAAACACAACTTTTAGAACTAGATATGGACACTTTGAGTTCTTGGTAATGTCTTTTGGATTAACTAATGCCCCAGCAGTGTTCACGGACCTAATGAATAGTATATTCAGGCCGTATCTAGACTTGTTTGTGATTGTATTTATTGATGATATTTTGGTGTATTCACGTTCAAAAGGTAAGAATGCAAATCATCTGCGAGCAGTCCTTCAGGTTCTTCGAGACCGAGAACTTTATGCAAAGTTTTCTAAGTGCAAATTCTGGTTAGACTTTGTACCTTTCTTAGGCCATATTGTAATAGATGCATGCATTGCGGTTGATACACAAAAGATTGAGACCGTAAAGACTTGGCCCAGACCTATGACTCCGACTGAGGTTCTTAGTTTCTTAGGGTTAGCTGGGTACTACAGAAGGTTTTTAGAGGGTTTTTCTTCATTTTCAGCCCCGTTAACGAAGCTGACTCAGAAAGCAGATAAGTTCCAGTGGACTGAGGCTTGCGAGCATAGTTTCCAGAAGCTGAAGGACAGGTTGACATCAGCACCAGTTCTTGCATTACCAGATGGTTCAGAAGGCTATGCGGTGTATTGTGATGCTTCTGGTGTTGGGTTGGGATGTGTTCTAATGCAACATTGTAAGGTTATCGCATATGCTTCAAGGCAGTTGAGAAAGCATGAGAAGAACTATCCGACCCATGATTTAGAGTTAGTTGCAGTTGTGCATGCGCTAAAGATCTGGAGACACTATTTGTATGGCGTTCATGTTGACATCTTCACAGATCATAAAAGACTTCAATATATCTTTAGACAGAAGGAGTTAAATCTGTGACAATGTCGATGGCTTGAGTTACTGAAAGACTACGACGTGGACATTTTATATCATCCAAGAAAGGTGAATGTGGTAGCTGATACCCTCAGTCGAAGATCTATGGGTAGTTTATCATAGTTGGATGTTGAGAATCGTGAGCTAGCGTGAGAGCTTCATCAGTTAGCTAGCTTGGGAGTCAGATTGTTAGAGGAAGAAGATAGTTGGGTAACAATTCAGGACACAGCCGTATCATCTCTAGCTGTAGAAGTTAAATCATAGCAACAAGAGGATCCTAGCTTAGAGCAGCTCAGAGCCAAGGCTCAGAATCAACAGACTTTAGCATTTGATATAGCAGCAGATGGAGTCCTTAGATATAGTGGTCGATTGTGTGTTCCAAATGTTGCAGGGCTTCCGCATAGGATTATGGAAGAGGCACATCATTCCCGTTATTCTATTCACCCTGGTTCGACGAAAATGGATATCAAGGATATATATTGGTGGCACGGGATGAAGAAGGACGTTGTTGAGTTTGTGGCACAGTGTCCTAACTGCCAACAGGTGAAGGTTGAGCACCAAAAGCCCTTCGGGCTAGTTCAGGAGATAACCATTCCTTTGTGGAAGTAGGAAGCAATTAATATGAATTTTATTACAGGGTTACCTTGATCGCGTCGCAAGTTTGACTCTATTTGGGTAATTGTTGATAGACTAACAAAATCAGCCCACTTCTTACCAGTCAGGGCTACTTTTACGACCGAAGACTATGCAGGGATCTATATTAAGGAGATTGTTAGGCTACACGATGTCCCAGTATCTATTATCTCTGATAGAGGAACACAATTCACCGCCAACTTCTGGAAGTCCTTCCAAAAAAGACTGGGGACACAGGTTAATCTTAGTACAACCTTTCACCCTCAGATACATAGCCAGGCTGAGCGCACAATTTTGACACTCGAAGATATGTTATGGGCGTGCGCGCTAGACTTCAAGAAACAAAGCTTCCCACCACCGGTGGGAAAGGCAAAGGGAAAGGCAAAGCAACTGCTCCTGCATCACCAAAGGTCAATTTCGACAATGACGGTATTTACGCCACTCACCTCACCACTTCTGAGAGTCAGGGTGAGCACCAGGATCTTCAGGCTACCATTTCTAAGCCTGAAGATAAGCTCTTGTTAGCCTAGAAAGCAGAGTTGAGATCCAAGAGGTTGAATGATCCGTGTAGGATCAGGAATCCCCAGGCCACTACTCCTCCTCCTGTCCCAGACCAGGCTGTGGTCCCAGCACCACCTGCACAGGGTCCTCCTCCCCGGTCTTTGAACAGACTGAAGATTAAAGGATTGAAGACCATTATCGAGGAGAAGAGGTTGTCCACTAATGGGGTAATAGACAGATACCCGGAGATTATGAGCTGCTTAAGGACCCACAAGTTCCAAATATTCACTAGACCCTGTGGCCCTTACATTCCAAATTGGTTCTGGGAATTCTACACTGCCTATAGAGATCTAGTGCCACAAGGGAAGATTAGGCCACCATTTTCAATCCGGTTGATTTTGTGGTTGTCAGGGGCAGGAAAGTTAAAAGTGATAGTGGTGCTATCAATGCAGTCTTGAAATGCTCAGTCAATATAGAGGATGTCTGCCTACACTTGATCAGGACAAAAATACTGGAAAATATGAAATGGTGCTCCTCAGTGGATTGAGGTTGGAGCTCCAATAGAGAAGAATGACATGAATATTGCTACACGGTACTGGTTTGGATTCATTAGTAGCTCCATCATACCTTCACAAAATGAGTCTATCATTCACCACGCGAAGATAGCCTGCCTTGGTTGCTTCGTTGATTGAATAAGGCTAAATTTGGGCATGATCATTGCTCAGGAGATGTCCATAAGGGCCAAGCAGTGCCAAACCTCTCTTCTTTTTCTGGTATTGATCACTGAGATGTGCAGAAGGGCTCGGGTGACTCGGGATGAAAAGAAGGATGTGGAAGTAATTCTCAACTCCTGTAACAATATCTAGTGCATTGAGGCGGAATACTAGAAGGATGAGGCAGAGAAGAAGAAGGCAGCCCCGGTGGATTCCTCCCCGGTTGTGGGTATTGATGCATTACCTACAGATGCAGTATTGCCTACTCCAGCCCATAGGCCTTCACGTACATCTAGTGTTGTTCCTTTTGAGACTCCTAGTTCCTCTACAGCTCCCTTGCCTCTTAGGTCTACTACTGTTGTTGCTACTTCCCAACCCCCGCTCACCAAGGCTGCATTGCTAAGGATGGGTTAACTTTCCCACTCTGCGGATAGGCGTACCTCCAGGCCTGAGGCCATCATCCCTGGAATGATTGACAGGACCCTGAGTGTTGTTGTGACACCCTTTAGCGTGTCTTTTGATGCCCTTGCGACAAGGATAGTGGCATGTGAGCAAAGCCAGGGGGCCACTGATGAGGTGATGGCCCTAAAGGTCACGATTGCTGAGCTGAGAAAGGATGTCGACCAGCCGAAGTCTACGGATATGTCCATGATATTCAGGACTGTGGAGATCCCAAATATGCTTGTTGATAAAGATGTGCCTCCGGCTACTATCGGAGATGAGGTTCGAGTTGAGGAGGTAGCTGCTGCAGAGTCTGAGGCTGAGACTGATGAGGAGCAGCTTGGAGTCGATGAGGAGGCTGCTTATGAGGGTCTTACAGCCGATGAGGAGGCTATGGTGGATTCAGCAGTGCAGATCTCATTGGCAGACACACCATGGCTATCCTAGTGGAGCCAGCAGTGCTGATTTGACTTTGTGCACTGATGCCCAAGCTTAGAGTGTTGCATCGAGCATTGATTCTCCGACAGATGGAGAGACTATGTAGACATGATTTTCTTTACCTCCCTCTCCGTCATTTTTTTTGACTTTGATTATTTTGTTGTATTTGAGGACAACTGCTTTTATTTGTGATGGGGTGAGGTATTTCCATACCTACCTCTTGTGATGATTATTTTTGTTTACATATTGGGTTTTTGTGCTGTAAATTGTGTTTTGACACTGTTTTGTGGATGTTTGAGCTTATGGCTCCTTGTTTTGAATGAAAATGATTTTGAACCATCTTAAAAAAATTGTGCCACCTCTTGTTTTGTGTGAATGTGGTTGTTCTTGTGCAAATTTGAGTATCGGTTATGATCAATACCGATGACTTGATTAGTGCTCTTAATCAAACAAAAATGAATGTGTGGCTACGATGAGGCCAAATGAAGTTGCATAGACAATATGTGAAATTCTTGCATCTCATTATGACTAGCTGATTATCGAATGAGTCTCTTGTGATGAACATTGCACACTAGCGAAAGTGTGGAGTCTTATTTGCTATTGGTACCAATGCCTTGTGAGATGAGCTTACCGTGAAATTTGTGTGATAACACCTAGAATTTGCCCCGTTGGTCCAGTTGACTAAGTGACGCAAACTCTTGAAATGATCTTAGGCAACAATTTTGAAGAGTGAAACGATTTGACAATATACCTCTTTTGTGGCCAACCTTGTGAGTGTGTGAACTTTGTTGAACCCCTTTGAGCCTAGCCCTTTTCTTAGAACAAACTTGAGCAAATGAGACCTCTCTTTATCCATTCACCTATATTCATCATGAACTGTGGTGTGTTTGAATAGCCAACTTAGACCAAAAGCCTAAGTTGGGGGTTTGGTGAAAAGAGAAGGAAAATCAAGAACTGTGAAGAAATCCCCCTTGATCCATGGACTTGAAAAAGATGGAACCCCTCCATTAACAAACAGAGAAAGAAAAGAAGAAAGAAAAAGAAAAAGAATGAAAAAGTGGTGAAATAAAGTTGTGAAAGTTGCCAAAGAAATGGGGTGTCCGGTAATCCATGAAAAGTGAATAATGGGGTGAATTTTGAGCATGAATAAAAATGCTGAAGAAAATGAAGGAAAGTTTTTCATATCACATTTCAAGAGGATAGAAGCCACTGAGCCTAAATGATCATACCTTTACACTCAGCCCCGTTACAAACCTTGAAAAGACCTTTTTAATCTTGAGTGAGCTGAAACAAATGTTGGCTGAAAAATAAGGGCAAACCTATGGGTAAAGTCATGCATGTGTTCATCTTTTTGAGTGCGAGAGTTGTTTGTGATTCTGGAACTATAAATTGTTGAAAAATTGTGTGTGAATATGGAATCATCTTTGTGTGAGGGCATTTGAGTACCTTTGTTGAGCTTGAATTTGCATTTGAAGCAAGTACTGTGAACTTGAGAGTCTTTGATAATGGTGAGTCACAACTTGAATCTTTGAGTGCACAATTGATCCTTGTTTAAGTAAGTTGAGTTTGTTGTGTGCATTCGTAATTGAGTCTTTTGTAGCAATGTTTGAGACATCCTTTTTGAACTGTTGAACTTGAGTTTTACTTGAGGACAAAGCAAAAGTTTAAGTTGAGGGTGTTGATGAGTCTGAGATTTGGACTCATTTAGGACCTGATTTGTATAGGTTTAGTGTCCTCAAATGCTTATTTTGTTCCAATAACTGATGTAAAAACCCTTGATTTTCAGGATTATGGATTGAGGAACAAAGCAAGGACACTAAGTTGAAAAAGAAACAAAGCGAGCTGAAAGAATGAAGAAAAGAAAACCTGGTGATCGCCAAGTCCATTTGGTGAGTCACTAAATGGCCATTTGATGGCCTAAAGTTCTAGTGTGCCAAGCCCTGACGGAAGAAGTCCAGTTGGTGAGAGAAAGGAGTAGTCGGTGAATCGTCGAGTGGTTCCGCGATGCAGTGTTGGATCGCCCAAAGTTACTGACCTTGAGGATTCTGAATGCCAAAGGAGAAGGGCGATTGAAGTGATCAAAGGGCGGATCGACGAGTGGTTCGGCAAGCCCGACTTACTCGATGAGTAACTCTTCGCAGCACATTTTCATCAACTATAAATACATTTTTGAACATTTATTTTCATATAGGAGACAATCTCTTTTTTATATTTTGAGAGTGTTGAATTGAGAGGAAGTTTTCTCTAGTTTTTCCTAAGCCTTGAAGAATTGAAGTTTTAAACTTTTGAGAAATTGAAAGTGGGTCTTTGAATTCTTCGAATTGGAACATTGTAAAGACGAAATCAATCTTACCCTGTTGATAGAAACTCAATTTGGTAACGATTTTTATCTTTTTATAATGTCTAGTTAAAACCCAATTCTTGTGATGTTATTATATGATTATGGGCTGATTTAGCTTATGGGTGTTGCTAATTGTTAGTTTAATTGCTATTTAAAAGTGAGTTCAATCATTTATTGTGGGTTAATTTAAGAATTGCAGTTACAAATGCAATTCTACCTTTGTGTTCTTGGCTTGCGAGAGAGAGAGTTTTTAGAACTAAGGTGTTTGATTGATGGTTTGTGGGTATTGGGTTGACCTAGGTTCAGCTCTAGAGAGTGAATCCTAAACACTTTTCCACACATTCAGCTCGAGAGAGTGAATGGACTAAGGTGTGGGTTGTTCTTATTTTGTATGCTTGTTGATGTTCGAGAGAAATCAACTTGATTCGGGGTAAATTGTTCGAGAGAAAGTTTATCTCCTCTGTAGCCTAGCTTACTCACTGATAATTAGCCATTTTCTAACAGTTGCACTCACTCATTTGTCTATAATAGCCTATAATCGGATCACATCCCAAGAACCCGTCTCATTATTGTTAGTTCGTATTGTTTGTTGTTGGTGTAGTTGATAATTTCAAAACCAAAACCCCCTCATTTGACATTCGTGTCACCCCCTGATTTGAAAGATGTTTTTAATCGTAAATTTTTATTCCTATGACTAACTCAAGCATATTATTACTTCTCTATTGAATCTTAAACACGTACCACTCCCTGTGGGATTTCACCCTAACTCATTTAGTTAGGTTATATACTGATTAAGGAGCATTGACGCTTAGAATTGGATGAAGTGTCTTTGATAATGTTACTCAAATCAACATGCAATTGACCAAGCTAATTATAATATAAAGTTTTATAACACATAAGTCATAAAATCATGGTCAATGCAAGCTAACTTCATCTTTAAAACCTTTGAACACATGTGAGATACTTCTTGAACTAACCTTAGTTCATAATTACTTGTGGGGATAATTAGCCTTAACCGACATGAGATCATGTGATCTATAACATGATCACCCGATGTCTCCCACACCGTAAGGGTTGTTCTACTTGCGTAAGGTAGAACCAAGAACATCTAGCTTCAGTGGATCCACTAGCTAATCAACCTATAAGGGCACCTAGTTTATGGGATAAGGAGATTGCTACTAGAAATCAGCCTCTACTACAGAGGAGCTTATATCACATTAGATTACTTTGGAAACCCGACCTCTACTATGGGAAAGCTTCCATCTCATTATCAATATCCACTCGGTGCTAAGCATGAATTCCCACGGAATAGTCCTTTCTTACTTGACTTTATTACTCATGAAAAGGTGTCCTTGGACAACCAATCCAAGTTATTTCAATAGGATAGCTCTTACCCTTGATTCATTTAGGTGAGAAAGCCTTTCAACCTAAGATCCTTTCTATGTGAGAAAACCTTTTCACATCATGCTAGTTATGTGTTATGACAATGCCCTTTCAACAACACAACAACAACATCATTGGTACTTTACTCTCAAAGCACCCTTAATACATTAGCATAAATCTCATAATCAAAGCATAAGTCCATCATTTACCTCTTGAGGTCAAAACCCACTTTTAATCATAAATTCTTCGAAAACATGGGTTAGATATGGATTTCATCATAAATACATGTAAAACTAGTAATACATGCTCAATTTCATAAAACACTTGCTTTATACTCAAAATCCCTTATCATATGATTCACAACTTGAAAACATAGGAATTACATAGGTTCGGGGAATTCATCATAAAAGCATTGCAATTCATCAATTCATGCATATAAGATCATAATTCATTCATTAAAATCAATAATGAAAGGAACCCGTGCTAATTGAGGAAAGCCATAACTAAATTGGGGAATTCTACCATTTGAAATAGAGGAATTTGAAAACTTCGTGGATGAAAACTATCATACCTTCACTCCAAATGCTCGCCTTCAATGGAGGAATTGGAACCTTAGCTTGAAAACCCAAGGTGAATCCTTCTTCTTCTTCTTCATGTTCTAGAGAGAGAAAATTTGAGAGGAATTTGGTTTCTTTTTGTGAAATTGGAAGAATGAAGTAAATGGGGGTGAATTTGGGGTTATAAAGGCTTATTTAGGGGTTCGACACAAAGACAAAACGACATAGTATTGAAACGAATTAATTACGAAAAGACCTAACTAATCCTGAAATAATAACTGTTAGCTACCACCGATAGACCGTGGTCTAACCCACGGACCATCCTGGTGGACCATCGTTTGTGGTCAGATACTTGATCTTTAGGGTTCGAACCACGGACCTCCAACCACGAACCGTGGTTTGACCAACAGTATGTTGGTCAGGTCATGGTTCTGGACCCTCAGAACTCTTTTAGGTAGGTCAACCACGGACCACACCTACGGTCCACGGTCCCATCCAAGGGCCGTGGGTGATTGACGTGGTTTGACACCTGCAATATCCGAAAATCTGCAATTTTTGGTCTTTTGAATATAGGGTGTTACAATATCTCCCCTTTGGGACCATTCATCCTCGAATGAGATTCAAACTGGCTCTAAAAGCTTAGGAGAGGAACTAACAACAGAACCTAATGATGCAATGCATGAAACCAAGGAGAATCTATCGACTCAAGCTAGGACGTTCTCTCAACA